GCGCTGTTGCCCCCAACCACACTTGGAGTGGGTTGTTTCCGTAGGTGGATTTTTGACACGGGTCTTGCCCGTGTTGAGATTGCGCTGGAACCCCCATTCCCTATACTACTCATTATCATTATCTGGAACTTATTATGGCTACAGAATACGCACTTAATTCGGAAACTTTTTTCGTACTCGTTCAATATATGAAGTAGCAGACGTTTTATTTAGTGTCTCTGAGCTAACGAACTGGTCCCGAAATGAGCACTCGAAATCTCAGTAATCGCTATTAAAATACATGCTTATTCAATATTCAAAGGAATAAAAAGCACACATTCAAGCAAAAAAAACTTATTATGAACCATACTTGCGAAGTATGAAGAAATTATGCTGAAGTAGCGAGAATAAGCTAGAGAAATTAGGTGGATGGTGGAACTAGACGAATTTTCCGGCGTCCATTCAAGTGTTCATAAAAATTGCTATTTATATGGTCATTTGTCGCGGTCTGTTTCCTCGTGAAGTGCAGAACCATGCAACTGAGTCGGATCCTGAAAAGATGAATCGTTTGAGCATAAATTTAAGTATAAGAAAAATAACTGTTTTTCAAGATAGACGCAAAGAATTGGAAATGTTTAGCAGAGAATTTTTTCAAAGGTGTTTGCGGCTGGTGCGAAAAAAGGCAAAGTTGATATTTATCCTATTAACTATACTCACGCAAAAATGATGGCGCGCTGATAAAATGGTGACAGCGGTGGGCTTTTGCTGTAATTAGAGGAATTGATATAATAATCTAACCACAAGTTTAGTTAAGTTTTGGAAATTTCACATTGAAATTAGGTCAATAATTCTGGGGTCGGCTTGATCCAGTCTTCCTCGACCATATAGCTTGAGAGGGATCTAGAAACGATGCGAAAAAATTGATATCAAAGAACATAATAACCTAAGAGAATTTCCAGGGATTGACATTTGATTGCTACGTGAGTTAATATCCGTTAGAGAATCTTCTACACGTTAATAATATTTGATTGTTACATAACTCGTCTTATGACCGCAACCACAACAACCAAGTCTAAAAATAGATCTCAGCTAACCTTCATCTTGATTGGTAGAGAGTGTTCTGAACTCTCCCAAACAACTTTTCTTAAAATGACAATAACCTACTGACGTATATGACATTCTTGGAAGATAGATAAAATATATTATTATATTCTGTTCTATTTGACTAGTTTTGATATCAATTTATAATTTTGCATAGTTTTGGCGCCAAAATCGTTAGTATAGTGGAATTGTTAAAGGAATATTTGCAAGGACTAAGTGTACTTAGCTTAATTGTTTGTACTTTGGATAAAAGTCATTATTGAATTTCCTGTGCCCAAAGAAATAGGAAATTATCAGCTTTGAATTCAAAACAATCATTATTCAATACAGTATTGTTTACAAAGTATGAAAGCAATGAAGAGCTGTACAAATTCCCAAACAATAGCATACAGACGTTGTTGCATTTATAATTAACCAAAAATATGGAATAAATATTTCAAACGGCTGGTGTCTGTGGGAAAATTAGACGTTCCAACTGACTAAAGCTGGAAGAGACTAAGTATTCTATATTGGCCTTTCCATTGCTCCTTCTCGCTTCGTTTGCACAAGAACTTGTACTTCAAACTCTCTCGGTAGGTGCTAGCATAGTATAGTCATACTATTGACGGTCTTAAGTGAATGACAAATTTTTTTATAGCTGGGTTTTGAATAGAAAAACAAAAACTTAATTGTACGCCAAGTGATTTTGGTGAAAAGAGCTTATAACCCAACGTGGGATAACTCAATGTGAATTCGCTTTAAGGCTGTCAATCACTTCCTTACTGCATTAACTACTGCTCGATTAGTAAAAGCACTTGTTTTCAATTTCCACTGCAATTACCCGAGCTAGAAGTCGATACGACGCACGAACAGGTACTGTACAATGCTATTTACTTTAAAATAAAATTCAAAATGTTTATTTAATTTGTTTTAAGATATACAGTTTAAGTTAAAACAAAGGCTTAGAAGTTGCCTTTGATGACAAGATGTGATCAAAATTCGAAACCTTTATGAGAATTGCTCACAGTAGATTTTTTGAAGATTTCAGTTTTCAACCGGAGTTTTGCGTTCAATACTCTCCAACTGAAATCCAGCAACCAGTAGCCAAACTGAACACAACTTTTGTATCGAAATATGTTCTAAGAATATGAGCGCAAGTACTACTAGTACTATTTCCATTCAACATTACAGCTTGTTACAAACTCAATTAGGATCCAACTGAAGGCTTACGCGATCTTATTCATCAACTGATTTTCGTCAAAAAAAGATTGAAAAAAATTCCCACGAGAGGTTGAGGCTAAACAAGTTTTAATTGAATCAATAACTCGTCTATATATTAGGATGCAATATTTTAAAATAGAATTGGAATTTTATAAACATTTGAGGGGTATTATGGTAAGCCGTATCTGTATCATGCAAAGTTCCCATGTTCGTGTCTCAGTGTATGGCTGTGTGTTAAGATCAATTAACATTCGTCTTATTGTGGGTAATGCAAGTTTACGAGCAGCAAACGATACATTCTTCTTCTTTTCTTTCTTCTTTATCTTCTACTGACGTCTCTTCATTTGATTTGATTTTCTTTCATTTTCCTCTCCTTCCTATTTACAAAACTAGAATCGAAAAGAAATTCAGACCTTCTAGAAAAATCAAAGTAGTCCTAGGTATTAGAACATATTGTAAATGCTAGACAAATAATATCCATTAATAGATGGAGAATTTTTGTTTTATGACATCACAAATAACTACGAACTATCAAAACTTGCCTCTACTTAACTCAAAAGTTAAATTCCAAAACCGGTAAATCTTAACTCCAGAAAAGTTTATCAAAAGCTACGAACCGGTAATTTACGTAGTACATAGTTATTGGTCCATTCTCAGCAGGGTTTATCAATGACTATTACAATAAGTATAAAATACAATCGAATATCATATAAATATTTAAAATGTAATGTGATAATTATTAGGCTGTGAATGCTACAAACTAGTCTCGTAAAATCTCGCCTTTTTTGAGCTCTCGAAAAGCACTTTTGGATTCGTACAGATTGCTTCGAGAGAGAGAGAGACGCCATTCAAGTAATCACCCCCTACCCCCACCCCCCACGAAATCGACAATAACAGTTAGCAGCGTTAATTAGGTGATTAAATTCCAACGCTTCATTTGACTAATGTCAACGACTCTGTTTTCAAATAATAAACAAGAGATCAAACGCATTTAAGAAAAGCATCATTGCATTAATGAGATTTATAATCTCCACTACAGAGAAAGCACTAGCGATCCTTCCTCGCTCTGAAACTGATAAAGATCTGCTGTTCATATGTACGAATGGTTTTTTTTAAGCTGGGACTTTCGCAATACGCAAAACCTACTCGAAAATTCCAACAGCAGAATTAATACTGTCTGTATCTACTCAACTGTAGTCGAAGGTGTTTCTTGTTTTGACTTTCAAAACTTTTTCGGTTCGGTATTTAAACGCGATTTTTATTCTTTTGGGTTAGTCCTTGGCTTCGACTGCAAGTTAATTAAAGCTTCTGCGAAACCAGAAGAAACTTTCACCGTCAATTCTGAAGTTTGCGAAATAATTTCTGCACTTGTTTGTACTACAGCTTAGTAGGGTATGTGTTTATAGGGCTGTAATTATGTGCAAAATCTTGTTTTGTATCATTGAATTGTTCTATCGATGGGTTGTCTGGAATGTGCGTTCCTCTAAGGCACTGTCATTCTCAAAACACACCTTAAAGAGCTAAAACAACTGCGATTCTTAGAGCTCGGCAAGTGGTTAGTCTTCATCATGATAACACATATCGAACATTTTTATGTACTTAGATAACACTTTATAGTTTTTGAATTTTCTAGAAGTTTATGTTGAAATAACTAATCAAATTATTCTTGTTTACTCGTATTTGATTGAAGAAATTGGATGACTAGATATTCGCTAAGGTCAAATAGTTTTTTTGTAGTTTCTACTGCTTAAAATATCACGAGAAAGATTCTTTTAGTATCACTTAGTTCCTCATCTTTGATTTTTTTACTGACATCTTTATTTTTGTTGTTTTAGACTCAAAATGAGTTACTATCTGGGACGAAGCGACTACAGCAGCTATCGTTCAAGTTATGAGCCTAGAAAGTATTCTTCTTTAAGCAAATCAAGCTACGGCTCTGGTTCCTATGGAAGCTCTTACTCCAGACCAAGCTACGCGGACTCCTATTCATGGAGAAACAGCTCCAGCCTCTCTTCGTCTTACAAGCCTAAGACCTACGACATTGGGTCGTCAAGCTTTAGTTCTTCATACGGGTCGAGATATGGAGACTCTTCATGGCGAACCAGGGACTTGACGAACAGAGATTCTTCAAGTAAAGATTACTCGAGCACTACCGAGGATAGCAAAGATTACTTGAGCAATGACGGCAATTCAACTGAGGAAAGCTCGAGCAAAGATGATACGGCTACTGAAGAATACTCCGCAAAAACTGGCAAGGATGCTTTAGCTAAAGACTTCAGTGAGCAAAACCACTCAAGCAATGGTAGTGATATGGCGAAGGAGGAAGCAAGAGAATCCTTCGTTAAGGAGTTTTTTGATAAAGATAATTCTGACCAGGAATCACCTTCTAAGACCAAAGGCCCTTTATTCAAGGACTTTTCAAGCACTGGAAGCTCTGGTAGGAACCTTTCTTCCAGAAGGAGTGAAAACACCTCACCCAAGGAGACGAAAGATTTCTTGGGCAAGTATGGCTCCGACAGTAAACAAAAAAATTATTTAAATAAATATCTAAAAGAAGATGACAAAGGAAAAATTACGAATGGTGAAGTGAAAGATTTCTCTCAAACTAATGATGCTTCGTCTTACGAGAAAGACAAATATGGAAGATACGGTTTTTTGAACTCGACCAAGAACTCAGGTCATCGCGACCGGAACGATTACACACTCGACGACAAGACCGCGAAGGAAGAAAGAAAATTCACGCCAAATAAAAAGGTCTATAGTTTTGAAGATGTCATTAAGGAAGATACAAAGGATAATGCCTTATTCGCATCGAGGGGGAGTGATTTTGACGACGTCGACTCCTACAAGCCTAAACAATCTGGAAGAATCAATGGTGATAGTCATGGTTCATTGTACAAACCAAAGAAAAGTTACTTCAACCAAAAGAATAAGAATTCAAGAGATTCAAGCCAGGAAAACCGATATTCTGCACCCCAAAAATCAAACGAGGACGTCAGCTACTCACATCCTAAGATGAGAGGCCGGGCAAGCTCGGATTCTGGTCCGAGGCCAGTCTCGCTCCATCGACCAGAAATCCAGAAGTTCATCTCAGTAGTTCCTGAAGAAAACCGTTACATCACGTCGGTGAACTACCTTCCAGACCGCATCGAGCTTCGCCTCTGTGGGACGACTCCCAAAGAAAAGAAAATCAAGAAATGGCGATCCATTCCGGACTTGTACAACATTACCTTGAAACCACAGCAGTCTGGCGAAGAACAAATTTCGTGCGAGGAAGAAGCGGTGGCTTATGCCTATGACAGCAGCAATGAGCTCCTTAACTACAGCATGCCTAAACATGAGCATATGAAAGAGATGTATGTCACTCAATACACCCATCACTTCGACCCTGAAGAGCCTCGATCTCACATCGCAGGTTGGAAAGTCGACGTTGAGCCAAACGGCATCCCACACGAGAGGTCCAGGATGTGTGTGCTTAAACACCCGGTAGTGTCGGGGCCAAATAAACACCGGCGCACTCGACCTAAATCTGCCCCTCCGATGATCCCACTTCGCTCGAAGAGCCCTGAGGAACCTATTCGTTTGCAACAAGTAGATGTTGTGGACCGGGGGTACTATACGTCACCCAGATCAAGTCGTGCCTCCGAAAGCGGGTTTTACAACGGTATCGAAGATAGTACTGATGTTTCTTCTCTGGGTTATGCTCCAAGCGACGATACTTCTGATTCATCAGCCTTCCTTGATCCGCGCTCTCCGAACAACAAGGATTCCAACTTCTCCTTCAGCAAACCAAAGTTAATCCGACTTTCCGCCGAATTCCCAGGAATTCGGAATCTAGAAAAAATGAGACGGAAACGACAAAGTATGGGATCCGCAACATCCCCAAGACCTCGGTCCTCACTAGGCCATTCTCCGTCATCAAGGGACGGGGAGTATGGATTCTTCGTGGCACTCACATCCGGGGATTCACCTAAATTCCAGAGTAAATCAGGACGTTCTTATTCACATTACTAAAAGAGTTATAGCATAGTCAACTGCGCATGCGGGAGTGAAAGGTGTCCAGTAGTGATGGCGGACTCACGTGAATCTGTCCTGTCACAATGAAAAGCTGTTACCATAGTGAAGTATCTTGGGACCATCTTCGTTTCATATAAACTAGACAGTAATAGACATTAGCCAGTTGAATCAGTCATTAAGCTTATGCACTCTGAAATGCACTGTAAATATTAGTTTTGATTTGCACTCAAAAAATCATATGGCTCGCACAATTCGTTCAACAAACAGATATCATAATAAGTTACTTAAATGTGTCAAAGGCAATAGACCTTTTTATAGCTTGAGTTTAATGCTTTGCCCACTTTAAACCCCGTGTCATTACCTTGAGTATCATTTCTTTGTTTAGATGCAAATGAAACAAATAATCCTATAGGTTGCTATCAATAGACGTCACTTCCGGTAATAGCTCTTTTTTGATGGCTTGTAGAATCTTGGAGGTTGTTTTGATCTCTTGTTTTCTGGTGTCATGTCGTAAAAATAGTCAAATGCAATAGTTTGAGGACTTATTTTAATATGTTTTGACTTAACACCCGCTAGTTGCCCCTCAGTCAACCGCTTGTTTGCCCCCCAGTCAACTCCAAAAAGTCACGTGATTGATAGTGAGCAATTCTCAAAGGAATGATACGCGGTGCGAAATGGTCAAAACAAACGCCAAACTAAAGAGGTTTCTAAAGAGAAGTAGTTCATTTTATCTTAGGTCTATTCTATCTACTAGTAATAGTTAAACTTGTTAGAATTTAACTTGCGCAGAATGTCCTTACGTTTTGTGACCTCGTTGTGTCGCTACGTTTTGTAGCGTCGGTTTCTCTAGTATCAGGCTACCATGCAGTGTCATGCGTGACAGAAAAAATTATCGAAATGAAATATTTAACAATTATTCGCCGAAGACGAAGTGATTATCGGGGAATATTCCCCGATAATCACTGAGCCTGAGGCAAATAATAGTTTTAGTATAAATACACAGGTGATTCTTTCAAAAATAGAAAAAACAAAGAAGATAAAAAGCATTTTTTTCCGGTAACAGCAACAAAGCGGCTGGCCGCCATTTTGTATTTTCGCTCGAGGTGAAGATCGTGTGATAGTGTGAGTTTCTTGACCAATCACCGCTCGAGATTTTCTATAATCACCTGCGTATTTTTACTAAGTAACTTAGTCTCATAGGTCAGAACGGAAATGGTAAGCACCAGTAGTCTTAAAGAACTAGACCAATGCGGCTCGAACCAGTTCTAAGAACTGGCCGTCCAGACCGATTGGTTCGGCTTAATGAAAAGCGCCCTTACATTAGCTACGAAATAAGAATAGTATTTGTGTTTGTCGTCTGGGAATCTCTTATTTTTTCATCATCGTATTTATATAACCAATAAAATCTATACTTCCAATGATTGTCTACGGTGATTTAATCTCTTATATTTTGCCACGAAGGAATTATTGGTGAAGATAAGAATGGCAACTTACCTGATTTAACATCGTGTTTCCGGCCGGCAACATCTCTACATGAGACGGGAAGGCGAAGGTATAACCAAGGGTAGTAATTTCTACTCAGATATTTTAAGGCCATGAGTGGTGGTTTGGGTAGAGAATCAGAAGTCACGACATCCCGCACAAGCAGAATGATGCCGTTTGATACGAGCCTTTGATAGTGTGATGTCGTCATTAGGGTCTAGATACCGTGCGCAAATTCTTAAGTTGAGATTTTTACACAAATGACGGCAGGAATCGTGATGTAAACTCCAAAAAGCGAGTTATTTTAAGGCGCAACTCAAGCGCGCAATGGGTTCGACAGAAGAGAATACAAATTTCCCGCGCGAATATAGTTGCGCTCTTCAAACAGATCTAGTAAAATGCTGGTGCATTGTTGTAGACTCCAAGATTTTGCGCAAAGCAAACAAAAATTCATTAGAAGCTAAGAATCCACAAAAATCTATCAACGGTAAGTCTTCCAGAAATTTTAGACTCAGTCCTTGCTAGTTCTCAAAGTATATAGATGATTTTTTTTTTTTTCATTTTAATTTTGCGAAATTGGCAAATCGATAGCACATACGCCGAAGAAAGAACAAGATCGCGCGTAAAGTATTCGGTGGGATTCTTCTTTGCGCTTCGAGGGGTAAGAAGTTACTGGTTAACAAGGCATTTCAGTAGTGAATACCAAGTGTTTTCACCAAGATCTTAAAGTGAGGATTGAGTGATTATCTGAATCCTGATCGAATAACGAGTTTAAGAAGTTAGTTACAACTCCTTATAAATTCTATAGCTGATATATCAATTATAATTTACCTCAACAATTTAACATTCCAGGAAATTATCATTCTCTTGATATTTTCAATGAATTTAATAGCGCAGCGCGCTGATTCTAAAAATAGCTTAAAGATTCGGACAAACATTGCATTCTGTTTAACCGCTACGAGGATTATACGAACCGATTTTATTATTTTTACTTAAAGCTACAATAATAACCCATGTAAACTAAGATCAACTGCGATCGGCTGTGAAAATTATCTGCTGAAAGTAAACTTGTAAGTTTGTTTGTCCGAATTTCGCCTTTGTTTTCGTTTTTATGACGTCACAGCTGCGCTGCGCTATTAATACTTGTACGAAAAAATGTCAAACAAAAATTTTTTTAATGCAATTACACGTTAGTTACGCATCTTTTATATCGTAATCATAGGAGTATCAAAAATAATGTTTTCTTCAAAAAACAAAGATATCTAAGAAATTTACAAAAAATATCTAAACGAAAACTGTCTCGATTTTGGCCTTATTTTTTCCAAAATATTTTCAGAATAGTTCAGACTGGATAGCCTTGCGTAGTGACAAAAGACTCAAAATAAATTGAATTCAGTTCAATGTAAATAAAGGATTCAAGCTTCCGACGAATCATCATCAATATTTTCTACGCTCTTGGTGAAGTTTCTTTCATTTGGATAATCATCATAATACGAATCCTCCTCATAATCATCATCAAAAACTGCTGCATTTGTACCGCTTCGTGAAGAAGACCTCGAACTTTGATTCGAGCCATAACTTTGCAGTAATCCGGATCCCAAACGATTACTTGCTTTGGAGCTGTACGAAGAAAAATTAATAGTTGCAGGAGGATTTTTAAAGACGTCGAGGAGGTCTCGAACTTTGAGTTCATAGTCCTTATTTGCTCGTTTGAGGCTCTCTAAACCTTCATTCAGTTGAAGACGTTTCTCATCGTAAGAATCTAGTTGTCTGTAGAGACGTCGAATTGTTTCTTTGATGTCTTCTACATCATGCCGCAAGGCGTCGAAGTTAGGTGCTCTTCTGTCCTCTGATGTCTGTACATTAAAATAACAACAAATGAATAAAAAATCCATACTTTTCGAAAAAGCGACAGACATATTAACTAATAATAAAGGTAAAACAATCATTACTCCACCTCTTCAATCTCCATACTCGTCGAAATATCGTCGAAATTCGTTTTTGCTAGTCAATCCAGTTAAATAATCTATGTACGAGTAGAAAGGTCAAAAGATTGCCAAACTGAGCGCGTTTTTGACTCAAGACTTCCAATATCCTAGTTTAAAGCTTCGTTGATTTGAAGTAACGAGTTCAGGCATATTAAAATATTCTATCTTAGGTCAATATATTTTTGGGTGTTATTGTTTGGAATTCCCTGAAGGATTTGAAGAGACAATAAGGAGTGAAGCTTTGAGCCAATTGCAGTTAGTTTGGATGCCTTGTTGATCTTAAATGCCTTTCGCTTCTAGGATTGGCCCAAAAAGCGACGCTATGAAAGTAAATGAACGTAAATCTCTTTAGCAAACATTATTTCAAAACGACTGTTATTAATAAGAAGAAGATGAAGTCAAATCGAGGATTAGTTTGTCTTTTGAAGAGCCGAATGTCTGGTGACACAAATGTGACACTACTGGGCTACCTGTTCGTAAATGGGTCGGAAGAGAATGGATATGAGTTGAGAGAAGGAGAAATAGTCTCCATTCCTCCGCAGCCGTCAATAATTTCGGTCCCTCTGGGATGAGACTAAAGGAGAAGGGGCAAATAAGAAACTAGTTGCTGCAAATAGGTGGTCGTGCCGTTGCATTCGAGCGAACCGAAAGTTGAGCTTGCAATGATAAAATGGTGGCACTAACTGCCCGGCAGTTTTTAATTTCACTTGGATTCTGTGATTTGTTTTGAGTTGAGTTGTTTCTTATTTAAAGCAACTTGTTTCTCTTTTGCAGCAACTAGTCCTCTAACTTGCAGCATTTCTCTTATGGTCCACCGTAGAAGGAGAAGGAGAAGGAGAAGGAGAAGGAGAAGGAGAAGGGAACAGAAAATGAACTTACTTTCTTGAAAACGAAGAGCAAGGTAAAGTCCGATTCACCCCACCCAACTATGTATGAGAAGGGACAATGATAGAGCATATGACATCAAATGATAATGCCACCCTCAGATGACGTCATTGTCACGTGAACACAAGGATGAGACCACATATGGGACGCGTATGTAAACGAAGATTTCAGGAGCTCACTGGGGGGCGACGATCGTTGACCTTGCTAGAGTTGGTTTAGTTTAGCTTGTATTTCAAACTTGTCACCCATGGAAGACATCAATAATATTATTTTTGCTATGGAAGATTACGATAAGATACATGTATTTGTTCTGGCTATTTCCTTTGTCAATCGCAGCTCTTTTAGCATAGTTTACTTCTCTTCGTGATAGGAGGTGTAAAACATCATTATTTACACTACTAACCAGTGTGATTCCTTTAATATAGCGCCGTCAACACTCTTATAAATATTACAAACTAACATAGCTAATTCAATCGAAAGATTCAATTAATTTGTCTAAATATTTACGGACGCAAACGTCAAGAGAAATTATGATAAACGTTTTCATTGTTTGAATAAAATGTGGTTGGATTATTCTCGACTCAATTGTCCTATGAACTCTGTACATATAGTTTAGCTCTATCCATTGTACTGACCTCAAAATCAAGCACAATTCCAATAAGCAATAGTTTTGTTAACGGGGTTTTATTATGAGTTATTTTGGCTGTTTTCTTAATGATTATTCAGCACACACAAATGATCATCAGTGGAATTCAATCTAATTCAAGTTAATTGGTTGTTGTGCATATGACACCGATCAATAGACACTCAAAAAATTCAAGCCATAGCTGAAATACTTCTAGATACTCTAAAGTCAGCTCAAAATCTTTCTTTTCCGAGAGAAGACGCGAAAATTTCATAAAGAAAAAGATCTCGAAAGAGAATTTAAATTTACCCCAAAGAAAAAGTTGTTAGCGAAGTTTGTAACGCTTTATATCTTGCACACAAGCAGGCTATTAACGCAAATCAATCAAGTAGAACAAAAAACTTCGTAGCATACTTACAGAAGATATCGAAGATCTTCGAGATGCTCGCATTGGAACACTAAGGTAGTTTGCTGAAGCCATTGTAATATTACGGTACTGCCAGAATGAAGAGAGGTTGGCTTTGTTCTTTGATACGGTACTAACTTGCTGTGATCGTCGAGTGTTTGTGAGCTCGCATTGGTTGTTATCAATATGTAAATCAGTACGATTGTGCGGGATGGGGCGATACGTGTATGCTACGGGAAGTGGTCCATTCGTCCCGCTACCCCCGTGGGCGGATGTAACACCAACCCCATACCTAACAGTCATTCACTTGATAATCATATCCTGAAAATCAAAATCTACACATGCACAAATTACTAAATAAATACCATTTAGCAATAATTTATGGTCTTTGATCTCTCTTGATTTTAAATAGATAGGGGCGTTCATGACCTTGATTTTTGTCTTTATGTTTTGACAGTGCCTTGTCATTAGTGCTGCAGCAGATCTAGACTTCGAGGAATATCTTAGATTTAGTCAAAATAAGACCTTTTATATCCGTTTCAGTGACACCTGAATTTTTTCTCCTTAAACATCACTATCCGAAGAGGAAATTGTGTCTTACACGTAGAAAATTGACTTAGAAAGTGAAAAATATTTTTGGAAATCTACTCCCGTGTGGAGTTAGTTTGAAAATATTTAGAAACTGAGGAGCGAGTAACTCATACCCCAAAAATAATTCATTTTGCCTTTGTTCGTTGTTCGTTCGTTAATTGTTCGTTAAGACAAAACTAACAATGTTAACATGTTTAGACTTTCACTAGACGCTAATATTGATGTCAAAATGTGTGAGATTAAGAAGCGGAAAGGATGGACAAATGGAAGCCATCTTTATATTATTATTATCTTGAACGACCGCATTTTACGCATATTAGGTTCTTCAATTCCTTCCTTCATTTCTAAACTGTTTTCTTTTTCTTTTTTTCATTTGCTCTTCTTTAGTTTATTTCCATTTTTTCCCTTTTCGCCGGTTCCATTTTTTTCATTTCCTAAAACCACAGGGAACCCAAACTTTAAGCGCCTGCAGTATATAATAAACAGCTGTGTTGCGGGGAAGAAGAAACCAAAACATGGCGGCAAAGTTGAAACAAGAAGATTCAATTGACGAACTTTACAGCAGCTTAGCTTCGTAAGTAAGCAAAAATAAAAAGCCAGTACACTCTTGACTTAAAAATTAACTCCTGTTTATGGTCTCTGCTTTGTTTTAAGGCTGCGTGAAGAGCTTGTGAAGAAATATGAAGCTTGTATTCGAGAAAGACGTCAAGTCGAAAGCAATGTTCATCAATGTAGAAAGCTCTTTAAACCTTGGTGAGGTTTTGAACTATTATTATCTACTTTAGCACTTACACACTTATTCTTTTACAGGTAAGCTTTGCTTGCTTATATGAGTATATTTACTTTGTATTGCGATAAAAACAGGCCCTGTTTGGACAAGAATAAACCCGAAGACAACAGCACTAAAGAACTAACTGACAAGACTACAAAGAGTTTAAATGAAAAGGGTGAAGGAGAGGGGGATGGAGCTACAGATGAACAAGGTATTGTGTAGTACTAGAAAAATATCTATACCACAACCACCCCCCATGTAAGGATAGGGAGAAAGTGTAGGGAGGGTCTGAGGAGGGTATAAATTGTGTAGTACCAGAAGATATCCATACCTCCCCCAAGGAGGGGGATTATAATTTCCAAGGGGCAGGGAGGGTTGAGGAGGGTATATTGTGTAGTATCAGAAAATATTCATACCTCCCCCATGGAGGGGGATTGGTATTTCCAAGGGGTGAGGAGGGTCTGAGGAGGGTATATTGTGTAGTTCCATAAAATATCCATACCTCCCCCATGGAGGGGGATTGGTATTTCCAAGGGGTGGGGAGGGTCTGAGGAGGGTCTGTGTAGTTCCAGAAAATACCAATACCTCCTCCAAAAAGGGAAATTGGATATGAAAGGACAAAAAGTATATGAAATGTAGAAATGTAAGAGTGCTAAGTTTCACCCAACAGATAAACACAAAGCCAATCCAGATGTCGAACTACTTGACAAAATCCTAGCCAAAGCTCAAAGAGCCAGAGAGATCCAAGAAAAGGTATGATAAAGATGTGTTGTATGGTATTCAAGTGTGGTTCACAGACTTGGCATCTCATGTGAGTAGAGGTTGTCAGGTCTTTCTCTTATTTCAAGGTTTTTTTTTTGGATTGTCCAGTTTTCCTCCCTCAGCAACATGCTGAATTCCAATTCCATCTGTGAGTTTCCTGTGCCCTGTTTTTAGCTGTGAGATTAGTTTAAAAAGCTTTTTCACTGTATTTGTAGATAGATGCTGCTAATTCAAAGGCTAAAATGTCAATGAAAACCCATTCAGCTCAAGATACAAGTAAGTGATTCATACTTTACAAACTCTGGAAAGCACGGGTGGCGTAGCAGTGAGTGCTCCCCTCTCACCAATGCAACCCGGGTTCGAGTCCTGCTGAGCTGGGTGTCGTAAGTGAGTAGAGTTGTTTGTTGGTTCTCTCCTGTGCTTCGAGGATTTTCCAGGTTCTCGGGCTTTCCTCCCTCCACAAAAATCAACTCCTAAATTCCAATTGGAATTACAGTGAATGAATAGCTACTCTGTAGAAATGCCACTGTTAAATCCCATTTATTTATTTTATTTAAATGAAAAGTTCTAATATGCTAGTAAACTAAAAAGTGTTACCAAAACCTACAGAAAAGAAAGAAAAAGTTACAAACATCACCAGTAATCAGCAGCGAAATCCCAAAACAGTTGCCATGGTAACAAGGGCCAGACCCACAAGCATGCTGTCAAGCAAACGTGCAGTCGTTAAGCAACCCGTGTTGGAAAGAAAAAATAAACCAGCTCCTATGAGAACTACTTATGGGGCATCATTTGGTAAACTTTCTCGTAGTAGACCCGGTACAGGGAAAAAGTCTGCGAAGGATTATCTGGAGGGTGTTCTTGGAGGGAGTGCCGCGAAGTCCAGGATCACTATAGGTATGATGATAATGATGATGATGATGATAATGATGATGATGATGATGGTGATGATAGTGGTGATGGTGATGATAATAGTGGTGATGGTGATGATGATGATGATGGTGGTGATGATGATGATTATGATGATGATGATGAGAGTAATGATGATGGTGGTGATAATTATGATTTTGTTAACAGTATTAATTACAATAGTGTTGATGATACAATCATTCTACAGACAAAACTCACAGCAAAAGTGAAACTCAAGCACCTCAATTACCAGTAAGTAGAGGAAGCAAGAAGACAATCAACACACAAGATGATACAGATAGTACACAACATTCATTAAAAGAGCAACCTGAACCACGAGAACCTGAGAGCCATGTTGAAGGACAGGAAGGCAATATTGAAGAGGGAGACTTTGTAGAAAGAGCAAAAAATGAATTATCAAGAATATCAAATGAACTGAATGAGATTTCATTGAAGAAACAAGAAAGATTAAAAAAGGTGAAAAAGATTGATTTAAACAAAGAAAAACCATCAACAGAGCCAACAAATGTCGCAGTAGCTGAGCCAGAAATTGTGGACAAGAAGCCTTTCCTTCTCATGGAAGATGGACATACACTTTCTCTACCTTCTAAATACCGAAAAATGAAATCTAAGAATTCTAAATTGGTTTCTCAGATACATAAAAAACTGCATGAAACTGATTTCAGTCAGTCAGAAAGGTTTACCAGGTATTTAGAAAACCAGTTTGACTGGCCAAACAAGTTAGACTGGTCAAACCAGTTATCTCATGAGACGTTATCAACAGAGGCTCAAGCATTGATGGACACTCAACGCAGGCTTCTCTTGCATGCCAATTGGGTAATTGACAGGAGTGTGGAAATAAGTACCCCAAATTCAGCATTTTCCTGGCAGAATGTGTACAAATGCTATCGACACTGGCAGGTGTTGTTGGGAAAGTTTAGGGAAGTGCAGAAACGAACTAAAGATTTGATGGCAGGTCAGTGCAAAACAGTATTTTCTATGACAAAATATGCATAGGGGAGGGGAGGGAGAGGCATTGTTCATACATCTTTTGATGGCAGGTCAGTGATGGTGTGTTTTTTGTTCATACATATTTCTATGGCAGGTCAGTGCAAAATGGTGTGTTTTTCTATAACAAATTTGTATAGGGGAGGGGAGAGAGAGGCATTGTTCATACATATTTCTATGGGTTTTTCTATAACAAATTTGTATAATGTCTTACGTTATTATTATTATTATTTTTTTAAATTAGAGATTCCTTAATTTTATTTATTTTTTATTCACGTTTAGTTTGTTGTTAAATTTTGTTGATTCATTTCCATTTTTTTTYTCGATTATGTATTTTTTAGTATTTCTTAGTTTTTTATAGTTTTAATTTTCAGAGGGYCACTGGGTTTTCAGTACGATGTGTTTTATTGTAACTGTTGTGTGTCCCCTCTTTAAATAAAGTTTTATTATTATTATTATTATTATTATTATTATTATTATTATTATTATTATTATAGGGGAGGGGAGGGAGAGGCATTGTTTATACATATTTCTATAGCAGGTCAGTCCAAAATGGTGTGTTTTTCTATAAGATTATTAAGTTGCCACGAAAAGAAGAAAAACAACAATCAAGAAATACAATATAACTAATAAACAATGCTAACAAAGACATCGCTGCTATATGACACGTCTTTATTTAACATCCGAAAATTCATTAATTTTAATTAAAATTATTTTATTATTTTTCATCTCATTCAAAAATAACTAAATCTTCTTACTGAAATCGGTTTTCTTTTCGTTATTCACTTATCCTATAATACCGAACGTTTTCGCTCCTTGTCGTAAACATCATTTCTTTAAGCGTGGATGACGTAATGTCCACTTCAGTGAGGATTGTAGTTTGTTATTTTAGTCTTAAAATATTCAAACGATGACAGATTGATGGCGGATATATGGACTTATGTAATTACCTTGGAATTCAATAATGTTGCCATAATCTTGTCAAAACGTCACCCTGTTTCGAAAAGCTGAAAGATTAAGGGGGAAAATTGTGGCTCAAATGAGTTGTCAGAGGAAACTGAGACGGGTACTATAAGTCATACTATGGAAAACATTCACTTTTAATATGGGTAACGCATCGTTAGATATTGTCTGTACAACCTCGTGGGGAATTTTACAGGTCCTATGATATTGTTCTTTGTTGGAAAGCATGCAAACATCCCAAATCCATGTGCAATGCCTGATTATGTATGCGCATAATTTAACTCCATGTTTGTAGACAGATATGTTTCTGAGATCAGGCCTGAATGTCACTTAATATTTCCTTGGAGTTTGTTTTTAATTAACTCGTTCTCATCGAACGTCGTTCAAGTTAGTGCTAGTAGAACCGCCACCAACCAGAGGTTGGAAGTCGTGCAAGTGACCACATCGAAATTCACCTAAATCTAATTCAGTAGAAGATAATATAAGTAAGTTGTAGTGCTTGGGAATCTAATTCACTCAAATCTTTTCTCTGTTCTTAATCGAATTTCGAATATACGTTGACCTTCTTCACGTCATGGCTGGCAACATCGTCGAAGGTTTTCACGACTATAGCTCAAATCTTGGTCGGGAGCTCAATAAACTTCGACAAGAGAAGCGACTTTGTGATGTTACGTTGATAGTCGAGGGAAAACAGTTTTTAGCGCATCAGGTTGTGTTAGTCGCTAGTAGCAGATACTTTTATGGCGTGTTTACGAGCGATATGGTCGAGAAAAGAACACAAAGGGTAAATTTGTCTGAACTTAACGCTTCCGCGATGGAGCCATTATTGTCTTATTTATACACTGGAGAGGTAGCGATAGACCAATCAAACGCGGAAGATCTAGTGATTTCAGCGAATTATCTGCTTCTACCGAGATTGAAAACACTGGCTTGTAAGTTCCTAGAGCAACACATGATCGCATCGAACTCTATCTATTATTACCAGTTAGCTGAACAATTCGATTGCAAGGAACTAAAAAATCACGCAAGTCAGATGATTCGAGCGAACTTTGGTACGATTGGTCAGTCAAAGGACTTTATGAAAATGAGCTTGGAGCATGTCGAAGAGCTGTTAGCAGGAGATGACATCGTAATTCGCGCGGAGGAAGAAATATTCGAAGCAATTTTGGAATGGATTTCGAACGAGCCCAAAGAACGCGAGCGTTATTTCCCGCAGCTGTTCCGTCACGTTCGAGTGACTTGCGTGTCTCGAGATTATTTATTCTGCAGTCTAGCAAACAACGTGTTGGTCAAGACAAACCCAGACTGTCTGGCGAGGATCATAGAAGCCACTAAAATGCTTCTCATTGGCGAAGGCTTGGCTGCGGAAAAGCCAAGAAAGTGCTTAGAAACCCATGTCGATGCTATTATCACGTGTGGAGGGCTGTCGCCTGATTGTTTAGTGCGTGACACCACATACTGTTACCTCCCCAGTGAGCAAATCTGGCACGAGCTGGCCCCTATGAACGTAAAGCGATGCCGACACGGTCTTGCTTACTGTCGTGGGTTCCTCTACGCCATTGGTGGAAAAGATGAGTCATTCCATAACACCGTAGAGCGGTATGATCCTAGTACTAACACCTGGACGTACGTGGCTCCGATGAAACGATGCGTCAAGCTGATAGGAACAGCCACTCTAAACGGAATCCTCTACGTGGTGGGAGGTATAGAGTTCACTGTTGAAGACAACCGACGTAGATGTAATACAGTACAAAAATACGATCCTGTTACCAATACTTGGACGCATTTAGCACCTTTGAGCAGCCGAAGGTCGAGCGTTTGTTGTGTTAGCGACGAGCACTATGTCTACGCGATAGGAGGACTTGGAGACGATGGGTTCTTGAACGCGTTAGAGAGGTACAACCCTCACCTCAACACCTGGTCGAGTCTGGAGCCAATGAGTGAAAAACGAGGATGCGCATGCGCGATATACTTGAATGGAAAGATATACATATTTGGCGGGACTGTTGACGCCTTTTCCCGCCAAGCCAAACGGTCTTGTGAAATCTACGACATATGGAACAACCAATGGTATCCACTTCCGCCTATGCGTATCCCAAGGTTCCACGCAGGCGCAGTTCTGATGCGCGGCTATGTCTATGTGATGGGAGGTATTGGAACAGATAACCAGAATAGTGAGTTGAATAAGGTGGTAGAGTGCTATAGTATTGAGAAGAATAAATGGATGAACGAACATTCCATTCCTTACGAGGAAACGTACCTTAGGAGCTGCTGTGTTAGACTCTACAAAGGTTTCTTACAAACACGTAACAAGCTGGTTACAAGGGTTAGTAACTCGTAAAAATATGAACAAATGACGTTCAAGAATTAATGAAAAACCTACAAATGACGTAAAAGTAGATAAGTAAATGACGTAAGTTATAAAAAAAGGCTAAAAAAAATTGATGCGAAATTGACGTACATCTTGACAAAAGGATGTAAAAGTTAAAAGAATGACGTAAAATTCATTAAGAAAAAATGACATTCATCAAATTAAAATATGCTAAATGTCAGAATATTAAGTGTTGGATATCAACTTAGCATTGTAGTTTTCATATTGTTATAGAGGCTTTGCACCATCACGTGGCGGCAGCCATGTTCGTTGACAATAACAATACAACCCAGCGTTTTGCATGAGAAAGAATGCAATTCTCAAGAGCAAGGGATTTTATTTCCCATTCATAATAATAATTTAAAAAAATGTGGAAGTAAGAAAGAAAAATACACAAGGGAATGACAAGGTTTGAAATGAGAAAACAATGTAAACTCAAAAGCAAGCATGTTTCAATTCTGGTCTAGCTTGGATATACTTTTTTATGATGACTTTTATGGTGTTGGGTGTACCCAAGCTAGACAACAATGCACCTTTTTTGTTAGGATTGCATGTGAAAATTACGGGAAGAATTGCCTCTTGTAACATGATATATAGACCTCTTGCATTGAATTCCTAGAAGAATTGTTCTGGGGGACAAAACAATAGGCCATCATTTCTTATGCAAAAAAATCCATTGTTTTGTCCCCCAGAACAATTCCCCTAGGGACCCAGTACAAGGGGTCTATTTCACAAAGACGAATGAATAAATAAATTGTTGGATGAATTTGAAGACTTGTGTTGTTGTAGTCGTTTTCATGGATCCTGTTTCCCAGTATTTATTTTTGTCATTTCAAAATATCCCATCCTATTCTTAGAAAAATTCATAATTTTTTCTTTACCATTAAACTCCAAACAGAGAAACCCTAAACCCTTGGAAAAACTGAGTTCATGTGCAATGAACTAAAACATAACTTGGTGCCCTATGATATCCCATGATTCATTGCAAAACGAAATCTCATATTCTATCATATCATGAATGGGTAACAAAGCCTAGTTTTTAACTGCAGGTGGTACCTATAAATTTTGCGTTTGATGAGGATACTCTTTATTACGACGAAACCAAAACACCAAAATATGGTGAACAATTTGAAAAACTATTGCTCTGCACCAGTGACTAGGGTTCACGTAGAAACATAAAAGTGTTTTCACATGTACGAGAGGCTAGTCAGTTGCTAGTCTGTGCATAATTACTGGGTTGCTGGTTTCATAGGATAGGATAAAAGCTGCAAATTCGGCGTTAAAAAACGTCTACGTTCCGTACGATCCAGCTAACCGAAGTCCAGTCCATTCCATTTATGTACGGTTCCCGATTTTCCAAAATTAAAAAACACTCAAAATTCGGGCATTTAGAAGAGGAAAACAAGTTTTAGAAGTTGGGCATGTTTTTTCTATACATTAAGATTATCCATGGCCTTTCAAAAGGTGAAAATTCAAAACTTTTTTTGTGTGATTCAACAACCAGTCACTTACTAAGGCCCAGTCACTTGAGATCCATTTCATTCAAAACCAATCCATTCCAGTCATATCCAAATAAAACCCAATATATCTCAATAGCAACTTATTGGAGGAAAATTAGACGTACAAATCTGTTACGATCCACAGAGTCACCTATAGGCACATGATGTACACAGTCCTTTGAGAGACCTTTGCCGCTGACCGGCTTCACAGGACTTTATAAACCAGTGCCATGATCCAAAACAAAAAAACGTTTTTGAGTTTATTTTTGCAAAATTTCGGGATAAAATTACTAGTTATTTATAATAAAATAAAAATCATTGGATAAAAGCTGCAAATTCGGGTTAAAAAAACGTCTACGTTCCGTACGATCCAGCCAACCGTAGTCCAGTCCATTCCATCTATGTACGGTTCCGGATTTTCCAAAATTAAAAAACACTCAAAATTCGGGCATTTAGAAGAGGAAAACAAGTTTTAGAAGTTGGGCATGTTTTTGCTATACATTAAGATTATCCATGGCCTTTCAAAAGGTGAAAATGCAAAAAAAAAAAAAAAAAATTATCAATTGCAATCCATTTCAGTTAAAACCCTATAGACACATTATGTGTACAGTCCTTTGAAAAACCCTGACCGACTTCACAGGACTTCAACCAGTACCACCATCCAAAACAAAAAAAAATTTGGCCGTTAATACTTTTTGCTAAGTTTTGAATCCTTTTACTATTTAAACTTAGTGACGTCAGTAACGCAACGCTGTTTTCTCCGGTTACAAAACCGCATCTGTATAGTTTCGCATATTGGGCAACCCAGTGCACGCCCCAGTGCACGCTCCAAGAGCGTCTTGTTAAAGTTATTCAACTTGGTCGCCATATTTCGATTTCGTGTGTAAAACGGTTAAAAGAAACAAAAGAATAAATGAATGAAATTTCTTTGTCTTCAGCTGAGGGGTACCTACAACGATGTTGTCCATGCGGTGGGTGTCTGGCAGCAAGGGAACTATCCTCACATTACTCCAACCCTCACAATACCGACCAGCAAGACTATTCGACCACAAGGTGTTGTCTATTTTCAACATGGCTGATGAAAGCCGAGGACGAATCGTGTGGACTCCATGACCGCGTGACCTACACTAGTGATAAGGTGCGCATTGTCGTAGGGAAATCTTAGAATTAGAACTAATGGAAAACTGGAAGAATGGGATTTAGAGAAAAATGGAAGAAAAGGATTTAGAGAAAAGGAGAGAATTAGGATTCGAGAAAAAATAGCAGAATGAGATTTGGGAAAAATGAAAGTATGATTTTGTCATTGAAAATGAAATAATGGGATTCAGAGAAAAATATCAGGAATGAAGAAATTTAACAAAAAATTTAAAAAATAGGGCTTGGAATAAGAAGAAAACGAGACTTGATAAAAGAGAAAGAACAGAATTTAAGGCAAAAAGAATGTGATTTTGTACGTGTGCGCGTGGACAATTGTAGGCATGCCTTTCAGCTGGTTGCCTTTTAACCCGGTTAGACGAAAATGACGTCATACTAAATTATTTCATTCGGAACGTACATTTCTTCACTAGGAGCTGCGCAAGCTCAATGAGGCTGTTCATGACTTGCAGATAAAAGAACTGAGTGTTCAGATACAGCGTCGAATTGGATTAAAAGCTTTGCAAGTACTGGAGCAACTAGACCCATCAGACAGGTAAACAAATTACTTTCATTAACAGACTATACCACAATGCACCTTTCCCCCGTTCAATAAACGAGATGCATTTTCTGGTCTAGCTTGGGTACAAGGAACGTCATATAAGGCTTGATGAATAAAATGTATATTCACCCAAGCTATACCATAATGCACTTTCCCTTCCGGCTCTAAGTTTGATAGACAGGGTGCTCTCTGGTCTAGTTTGGGTACGATAAAAAATATAGTTATATCCAAGCTAGACCACAATGCACTATTTGGACTATGATATTTTTAAAGTGCTCCAATTCATAGGCGAATGTTCTTTCGAGCGGTTCGCAGCGTGAGCCAATTAGCAATGAATATTCCTTGACTTGTTTCAGGTTGTTTATACCCATCTATCGAGGACTGTGGGGTCTTGTGTGCGGCCAAGGGAGAGCTTTTCCATCACTTGTCTTGGATAACACTGGAGACTAGTATGATCTCCTCTTTTTATTTTATTTTCTCTCCTATTCCTTTGTTATCACAGCTATTTACCCATTTCACTCAACAAAATTGGAATAAATTCTCCCAATTACAGGTACAACGAAAAGCATTTACTCTAACTCAAAACTAAATAATCGAATATGTTTTCACATAAAAGAAAGTAAAAACGACAACAACAACAACATTCGGCTATTTCAGATGTAAATGAATTCTGACAAATTAAATTTCTTGTCAAGAGAAAAAGTTTTCGACGTTGTCAATAGCTATGAAAATTGTAGCATTATTAATGGGAATCACAGAGTCGCATACCCTCGAATGTAAAGCTTCCTCAACAAGTTATACCGTGTAATGATTTTTTTCATTAAACCTCTTGGATTTAAAAAAACCCGGAAAATTCGAATAGTTCAGGTTAAAATTCGAATAATCAGAAAATATGAATAGCTTTGTTTTGATTGGGCAATGAAATTATGACATGAAATCGCGCACATTCGACAGTTGATTTACAAGCGATTGTTACGTCTTTGGAACAGGGTGGTTTTTCTGTACAAAATTAACAAAATAATTTCCATTCAATTTTTTGTTAGAATTGAGTTATTGAATTATCATTTAATCAGTTTTCCCTGGGTTTTCCCCCACGGGTTTTCCTTGCAACTGTCAAACAAGTTTGGAATCGTTTTTCTGGTGTATCAAATATTTATGGTTCGTTTCAACCCAAACCCTATTTTTGTTTTTGATTTAGTTATCAACCAATCAGAGCAAAGCTTGCGTTGCCAACCTGTGTATTATCATAACATGTCATAAAATCAGGGGGAGATGAGCTTGATTTCATATAACATTACTCTTCCCCTGTTGATTTTTGCTTATTCGAAAAGAATCCGTTTCAGTTCGATGTAGGCTAAAATTTACTGACTGTACACGGTACGCCATGGCGTAACATTGAATTGGCTTTTCATACAGCGGTTTACAGTACTGACTGTACACGGTACGACATGCCGTATCACTGAAATGGCTTCCCATACAGCGGTTGTCGTATGAGTGGGAAACGTACGGTGCTTGACAGTACACGGTACGATTTGCCGTAGCATTGAAACAGCTTCCCATTAGAATGTTTTTGTATTAAGGGGAAACGTCCCCCCCTCCTTTGATTTGGTCGACGCTTTTACCTCACATTGGGCGTGGCGAAAATATAATTCAAATCTCTCACAACAAACCAGCTTTCAAAGCGTTGACACAAACTAGTTGTTGAAGTTACTGCAGTTGACAAGGAGCTGACAGCTGACTCAACCAAAAGATGTTATTTGGGTTTGTTCTTTCGGTTCTTCTTGCCTCCTTGGGCAAGTACATCGCCAAGAGATGGTTCCTTTACTTAATGGTGGCAATTATTGGCACTGAAATTGGACTTCTTGTCAATGGAGCAGGAAAGCAGGCAAAAAACCCCGATGAAATGGCAAACAGACCACCACCAACACCGGCCAAAGAAGCGCCTGCTACAGGAAAATGAATTCGGAAACTCAAGCACATCTTGTCTTCTTTGTGGACTTTTGCACCGATTTTATCCAAACTGAAAGAAATCTTGCGGTAGATGGAAAAGATAGTAGAATATTCACTCTCCAACATTCTCAATGCTGAACTAAAATTTGAGATGTGGATTCATCGCAAGTTTTGTAAGCCATGCTTTTGTTTGCTTTGATATTGCGCTGTGCAGTCGACTCCAAACAACGCTGAAATATGAAAAACAAACTATGGAATATGGCGATTCTTTTTCCTTTCTTTACAAACTGCAAGCACTTTTGTACTGTAAATAATTTGTCGCAAAGCAAATTTGTTCAAAAAAGTTGTACACTTTAAAAATTACGTTTGTTTCAGAAGTCCAATTCCTTTAAGTTAATGTTAAATAAATATTTGCTTTTTTCATTCTTGCAAGTTTGTTTACTTAATTTTTTTGTACTTTGAATCAAAGCTGTCAAAATTTATCGTAAAAAATATATATTAATTTACTCGTTATTGCAATATAAATATATTTGGTGACAGTTTTGATTTTTCGTAACAGGTAGAGCAGGTTGTTAAACAGTGATGTGGTTTTCGAGGTTTTAGAAGAATTGTTTTTCAAAAAAATTTGTTATTCGTCAACTATTTGTAGCATTTTTCCTGCCTCAAAAACGCTGTCTTTTTAACAATCGATCTTCAAACAAAAATCCATTTTATCTAAACCTGAAACAACCTCTGCACTAATTTAAGCAAAGTCAGGGCATGGTTAACTAGGAGATCTAGCGTGTTGGGTTTTGGGGAGGAAGGAAAATGGTTAGAAAAGACCACGTGAAAATCTTTAGCATAAAACTTTTGCTTTATTACTCAGTGCAGTGACGACGGCTATTTACAAGAGTTGATTAATTTCTTAGTCATAAAGTCGTTTTTCATTTTGAATCATAAATAGGACAAGTTAGATAGGTTTTTGTGGAAATAGGAAACGTACGATACTGACTTACTACATGCCATAACATTGAAATGGCTTCCCATTTTTTCGTGCAATTTGTTCAATCAAAACGTATAGTTTGGTTGCTGGAGTAAGACTAAATTCGCAGTTTTTAATCGCAATGCTTAACTTTTCAGCTCAGAAAATTGTGTTTTTTTATACAAACGATAAAAACGGAGAGCCTTTTCGATATTCACAAGTTGATTTGATTGGTCAGAAAATTGACCAATCAAATAAGTCATTTCGATTATCAGATAACTGACCAATCAGAAAAACAATTACGAGTATCAAAATTCATGGTTCATCTGATTCGCTATATAAATGACCAATCAGAAAACAGAATATTTTTTTTGACCAATCAGGTGAAAAAAATTTGATTATCAAAATTCATGGTTTATCTGATTGGCTAGATAAATGACCAATCAGAAAACAGAATTTTGGAAATAAAAGGAGGGGTAATGCATAAAAGGAAAAATCAATAAAAATGAGAAAATCGCAATAATACATTATTATTTGAGTGTAGAATTCAACTATACATTAATAATTGCGGCATTTTAAAGTAGTATTTATTTACAGAATTGTTTTTAGCATTAATATGGTGCAAGAAACGCATCAGCCAAGCTTTGCTGCGATGTTTTGCTTATGCTCAGTGAGTTTGAGTCCAAGTAATGCAGAAACCTGGAGAATCAAGGATAATAACGATTAGAGGACAGTACAAGACACCAAGGAAGGGAAACAAAGCTAGGAAAGGTAGTCTATAGCAAGTCAAGTGTATTATAGTCAAGCAGAGTGTATGAGGTCCAACCACATGTTACTATGTAGTCAAGAAAAGGAATGATGTGATTAGAGGTAAGAAAAAAAAGGCAACAAAAAGGGTTATGTAATAATAGAGGGTGATAGCAGAATGTAGTGAAAAAGGTTAATATGCAGTTGGCAAAGGTAAAAGAGGGCAATAGCAATGAACAGTGTAAGAGGTTTAACTATAGTTGACATAGGTACATGATATAGGCACAAATAAGCATGAATATGAAGACTATAGTTTGGTCAAGTAAATCCCAAGAGATTTAGGGGCAGAGCCAGGAAGTTTAGAAGGGGGGTGACTATTACAAAGGTTTTATTAGGAATTCGAGGAAAAAGGAAGTGACTGTTATTAAAGATATACTGAGAAATTTGAGCAAAAGGGGGGCGACTAGTCACCTATATTACCACCCCTGGATCAACCCCTGAGATTATGATTTGCTTACCTTCGCTTTGTATTCGCTTGTTCTCTTAATCTCTCGGTGTGGCAGATGGATCTGAGGGTGGGGAGGTAATCCATGGAGACCACATGATGTGTACAGTGAGTGACTAGAGGCAGAGAAGAACTGACTGACTTGTATAACTTGTTCTTACTGGACAATTTGCTGTAATAAAACCAGTTAGTTAATCATCAATTAATCATCAATTAATAAGAATTAATTAAGATAAATTGAGTAAATAATTGTAATAAATATTATTGCTTGTTATAACTATTTAATTAATTATTTTATCAAGACAAACCAATTACTTTAATAATTATACAGCTTCTCATTAATCCCATATAGGTAACTGTCCAATTATTTTCTTAATTGGACAGGTCTGTTGATATGGGATTAATTAGGCAGCTATATAATTAATAGGTAATGGGATTTCATGCTCCCCAATCAAGAAATAATGAGACTTGAAAAATTCCTCTGACTGCCAAATTGGACTTGGCCTACGGCCTCATCCAATTTTGTCACTCCTCGGAATCATCCTCGTCCAATCATTTCTTAATTGGACAGCATGGAGTCCTATTACATATACTAATTAATTAATAATAACTAAAATCAATTTATTAATGACTTAATTAATCATTAATGATGAAAAGGTAAATTATACACCGTGAAAAGATGAAAAAACTTACTGACGTATTACTATACTATTCCTATAMTATTSCTCTTTTACTCCGACGAAGGACTAGCGTCCGAAACGTCAGTAAGTTTTTTCATCTTTTCACGGTGTATAATTTACCTTTTCATCATTACTGTTTCATTAGAAACACCGACGCAGCTCACACTAGTTTTTAGCTAGTTATATCTTTTAATTAATCATTAAATTATGAAAAAATTGATCAATAAATTTATTGGTTTAATTAGTCACTGATTATTGGTACGAGGTGTCAAAGACTGATAAATTATTGCAGGTATTCGTACCTTGATTGAATCTCGTTCAATCCAGTCAGGTTGAGGACTGAGTTCCTTTCCATAGAAGGCAGATACCTATCAACATCTTCCTCACTCTGCTTCTTCTCAGTCAATGATTTATAACTTGTATAGGAATTCTCTAGACTTGCTACTTCAAGAGCTCCACGAATACATGCACTGGTATCACAAGTTAACCAATCATGACGCTTGCGTACAGTGATGACATCATCACTTAATCCTGCCTGTACATGTGCCTGCCACCACCCAAATGCCGCTGTATGGTCATTGCGGCCGTCTGTAGTGATACTAGGGATGTATGCATCCATGAAGGAGATGTCTTCTGCTAATCTACTGAACATCTCTAACGCTTCTCCTTGGAATTCTTTCACAGAATCTGTAAAGTAGCCAAATTAAATCAAGACAACTTCAAGCTGAATTCTCCTCCCCCCCACCCCCTGAATAACCAACCTACCTTTTTTTGTCTTTCTGTCTTTTTCTTGTGTTGTAACACCAACATCACCACTTTTATCTGTTGTCATGGCAACTGCATCTGGTTCACTTGGCACATCAACTGAATCCTTATTGGCCAGTTCTGAACAAATAGTAGCAGCAGTGTTCTTTCCTACAATATTTTCTTCTTGACCTTTTTTCTTTGGAGTTTTCGACATTCCATCATCAAATATACTTTTATCAGAAAATATTGAGTTGACGTTACCAATGTCAGTGGTTTCTTTTGTTGCCATGGTAACAGGCCTAAAATTAGAAGAGCACCTGCTGTGTAGACAGGGGAGTAGGGTAGGGAGATTATTGCTCACAAGGTTGATTCCAATCTTTTGGGTGTCATAAGTAAGGCCGCATCTAGTCTTGAATAAATAATCCTATATAGGAAAGAATGGAAGGTTTAGAGAAAATTACTCTAAATTCAACATTTGCATGGAGTAATGTTTTCCCATTTCAGACTGTGTGTCATTCCCTAGAGTATCATTTCTTTGTTTAATGGTTGCACATGAGAAGACACATGAATATGAATACATCTCAAAAAAGAATCTTATTTTCAAGAGAATTACATTTGGTCTGAAATGGGAAAACATTACACTTAAAGTAAAAAGGTCTAAAGATTCATAGGTTTTTTAGTGCAAGTTTGAAAAATTTGAGCACTGCCATATTGGTAAGAACACATTGTAGGATTCTACTTGGATATGTTTCTATGCAGGGTTGAAACCCTGTCTTTAGGGCGCACACTAGAATAGATCCCACTGTACACATACCTTGTCGCTAGATATACTATCATCCTTCAAGAGTTCCATACAACCATTCGCATACCCATATGTACTATTAGTCAATCCCAACACATGTTCCATCAATAAGCAGTGTACATCGGGCATGGTAACTTTCTTGTTCTCATTGTCAGCTAGTTGCATTGACTGACTGTCGCCTGGTTCGTTTGTATCGAGTATAGAATCAGTATGTGTGTTCTCGTCTGTGGGAGGGTGGCTGCTTGATTTGGTAGGTTCGAAGTCTGAATCTTTATTCTGGTTTGAGAAAAGAGTTAAGGGAGTTGATCTGTTGTGATCTGTCAATTTTTAAAAATATTGTGTAACTTCTTGTAGGTATGAGATATCAGGGAAAATAGGATGGATAGAAAAAGGGATGGATGGCATTGATGGGCACAAAGATAGAAAAGATGGATGATCCAGTTGACAAAAAAAAATGAATAGGATAGACAGATGATTGAATGGATGAGTGAATGCATAGCCATGTCATCACTTCCATACAGTTATTACATATTAAACTGCTCTTTAACAAAAGAAAGTTGTATGATACCTGGAAGTCTGAAGCACTCGCTGCACTGTTATGTCCACATCTTAAAGCCTGACCCCGTTGCTTAGCAAGAGTTTCCCAATCATCAATAGTCAAAAATAAGCTCTCTTCACGAGGATCATCTAACCCTAATGGCTGCTCAACTATGCACTGATTCAATTCTCCTGCTTTTGAAGGGTTCTGGAAATTTCTTTCTACATCTGTTTTGATTTCTGAGTTATCCTGAACATCAGATAAATGTTTTCGATTCTTATGGACCCTCAAGAACTCTTCCCAAGATATTTTCACTCCACCACCGGACAGAATCCAGAACTGTAGCGCAAGAAAACATTTCCTGATGTCACATTGATACCACGAAGCTAGGGTTTTGAGCTCAGATGGATTGACAAGGACCTCGTTGGCGAGAGCTGTGACAAGAAGATGCGCAGATAACAGGTTTATGGAGGGAGATCTGATCGTCAGCTGTTCGTACCTTCCATCACAGTCCACACGAGAATCTGGAATACAATATATGATTACTATCTGGCTCAGGGTTTTTTTGACATTATCTTCATACAGAGCATGTTTTCTGTGCATTAGACATTTGTTACAATCACGTAGTTAGATTCATAGAAGTGCAAAACACATTGATATGCGGAAGGGAGATGCTTTATCTTATACATCATTAATTGCACCTTATGATGACACGAGTGACGAGGCACATGACATCACTAGTAAGTAGAAATGAGTTTATCATTGCATGGTAGACACAAAGCATATGGTCCAATCAGATTGTGCGAGGCATTATGGAACAAAAGCACATGTCCACACAAAACATTATGGTCCAAAATATGTGCACGCAGGCATTTTGGCCAATAAACATGCTATATCGTATGTCCACTTACCATTACTAGTCATAATGGTCTAATACATGTGCATGCATTCCTTTGGCCAATAAACATGCTATACCATATGTCCACTTACTATTACTAGTCATCATGGTCTAATACATGTACGAGCAAGCATTTTGGCCAATAAACATGCACATGCTATATCATATGTCCACTTACCATTACTAGTCATTATGATGGGACATTTTGCATTACGCATGAATGAAGTCACCGCTGACCAAAACCCTTTGTCTTTTTCAAATATGACATCAACCTAAGAAGTAAAAAAAAATTGCAGTTAAATTTCATCCTTGCATTTTATTTCATTGGTACATTTATTTTTGTTACTTGGTTCACTTGATGTAATTTCCTGTCTTGCGGGGAATGTTCATCAGCTGAATCACAAGTTCCGACAACCGGCAACCGGTTGGCTCAGTTGGTAGGGCGCCGGACTACTGTGCGGGAGACCAGGGTTCGATTCCCAGCCGGACCAACACTCAGGGTCTTAAAATAACCGAGGAGAAGGTGCTGCCTTTGTAATTACATCTGCAAATGGTTAGATGTTCGCGTCTTCTTGGACACTATCTAACCCTGTATTTGAGGGACGTAAAAGAACCACTTAGGACATAATAAAACCCTGGCAGTGACCACTCTCGGTGTCTGGACTTTACTAATGATTTCTTAACGGGTTGATTTGTGGGTCGGGTTAGGGGTTTTTAAGGGGTGGGATTGGTGTATGTACCTCGTAGGGGACCTCGAGTCCTATTGTGCTACATCAGCCCTCGGGCAAATTCTCAAATAAATAAATAAAGTTTTCAATAGAATTCTTTCTGGCTGACATCACATGTAGGTCAGTGTTTTGACCACCATTTGGAACAGATAGCGAAATTCAAAGACTTTTATCAGCTGATTGAAACCCCAGCATTTTTAGAAAGATTTTGATCCCAACTTACCTCTTCGAATAATATCAGGGATGCAGCCTTCAATGACAGCGCAGGTATCAAATCACTATCACTCGCACCACCGAGCACCTGTGCAGGATTCTTCCCTTTCTCTCCCTTTTTGTTTCCCTTCAACTTTCTTTCCTTTTCTTTCTCACTTTTTTCTTGAGCACCTTTTTGGTTTTGTTGATTCTTGGAATGTTTCTGTTGCTGGTTTTCGTTGGATTGTTTAAAGAAATTTGACATTGGTGAAGGGTTTACTGGTTTTTCTGGCAAATTCACGAACAAGCCTCCAAAGGCTGATGCCTTTGGTGTGTTTGCTGAAGGGTTGGTGATAACCAGATGAGACTGTGTTGCTTCTTCAAGTCTGGAAAGAATCTGTTTGTTTGATCTCTTGGAAGAACAGTTGACTTCAAAAACCTTAAAAAGGGAAAAGCATCCAGAAAATCAGGGAATTGAGGGGGGTGGGGTAGTGGTGGTACACCCACCTCTACCTTCTGGGATCTCAGTTTCAATTCCTACAGTAGACTTGACATCACATTAGAGTAGAGTTTGTTTTCTGGTTTAAAATATGCATTATATTCTTTTGTTTACTTTACTTAATCCAGTTGAATTTCCGAGGTGCAAGGTGTCGCATGTTTGTGATGCAGTCATAAATTAGAGAATGGCGCATTTGTTAACGGCGCATTTGTAAACTGTGCATGTTATCAGTATGCATGTACTTCATACCTTGTAGCCTAATTCTTTCGCACATGCGTAGACAGCAGCGGTCTTTCCTGCGCCTTTGGGTCCCAAGACCAGCATAGCATTACACATCCCTGACTCTTCGTTGCCACTGTCATCACTGTCTTCGTCACTTAGATGGAAATCAGAGTCTTGATCATCATCCCACCAAGCTAGCTTCTTCTCATTTGCATCTTTGTTTTTCTGCTTCGCTAAAAGTCTAAAGGAGCAATATGAACATTACAATAGTGTGCAATAATTAAGAAAGGGAAAACATGCGCTGTGTGCAGTTATGAAACAGTTTTTTTTTATGACATACAAATTATAGCCACAGTTAACAGCTATTCAATAAGAATGATGAATGCTGCGTGCTCTAATAAAGAATGCTCCCCCAATCAATGACAAACCATGAATTGAAGTATAAGAGTTCAATATAATAGTATCATATAAAATATCATAGTTTTCCCATGACATTTCTGCTTTGTCTTTCTGCATCTTGCTGCGCAACAACGTTTGACATACAGAGAAACTTTAAACACATAAAAATGTCGACCTACCTTTTCTGCATTTCTAACTCTTTACGCAAAGTTTTCTCTCTCTTGATTTTCCAGGCTTCCAACCAAGATCTTAGTCGGCTCACAGATGACGCATTTCCCATCACATCAGATGAACATTCTGGCTGGTATTTCTCAGTCCATAACAATTCCTTTTTATCTGAATTGTTCTTGTCATCAAGAGATGAGCGGGAGTCCTCTGCTTTCTCATTTTCTTCAACAACTTGTTTGGGATTATCATCCTCGTCCATAGTTTTGCGTTTCTTTCGTTTTGAGGACTCAGCTGTCTTTTCTTCATTCTTAGATTCTTCTTGGCTTTTATCATCCTCGCTACGCTTCTGAAGCCTTGAGGATTTTCTTTTTGTATTCTTTTTATTCAAGACTTCCTCTTCTTCCCCTTGTCCCTCCTTTTTCCTCAAACGTTTTGAAGAATCATTCTTATTTTCAACTTCCTTAGCTTTTTCTTTTCTTTTCTTTTCATCTTTTTCTTTTGTCCTTGGCACTTTCTTCTGTTGTTTTTCACTTAGTTCATCATCACTTTCAATAGATTTTTTTCTTTTCGACCTCCCTCTGTGTTTCTGTAATCTTTCCTCTGCATTCCTTAAGCAATCTTTCTCATCATTGCCCAAGATGAGCTCCTCTTTCTGATCCTTGGAAGTCTGGGTTAGATTTTCTACTTCTTTCTTTTCTTCTTTATTCTTGTACTGCTTGTACAATCTTTTGATAGGAACACCTGGGAAACAGCTCGCTACTTCTGACAACACTTTCTTCACTGCTGCAGTACTCAGGCAATCGCTGGGGGACACATTCTGGATTACTTTCTGTGACTCTTCTGAACTCTTGTTTCGATTCAAGGAGCTCGTGAATTCACCAAGCTGAATGGCTTTGGTTTTTAGCTTGGGAATAGCTTTCAATGTAAAAGAAAATTCATTGATCATTCAACCACAGAAGCATTTGCTTAAAAGTCTGGTAATGAGGAGAGATAACTAGCTAAAAACTAGTGTAAGCTAGTCTGGTAATGAAGGTTAAGAGAACCTGATGGAAGAGGCCCTAACTGAGAGTGATAGTAAAATATCATCATCATCACCATGAGCTCATCATCATCATCACATCACTGTCATCATCCTCACTATTATTATAATCATGACAGTTATTATCACCAACATCATCATTATCATCAGCCTTATCGTCATCACCACCCTCATTATTTAATATGAAAAATATATAACTACGTTATTCAACACCATCATCATTACCATCATTGTTATCGTCATCACCATCATCGTTATCGTCATCACCACCATCGTTATGTAATATGAAAAATATATAACTACATTATTCAACACAAATTTACCTTGAATTGATTCAGGTTTCCATGGCAACGTCTTAATCTTAGAATCACTTAACTTCCAAAACACCTCATCTGATTGGTCATCTTTCTGTGTCACGTGACTAACATGTGGCCATGGTGCAGGCTGCTGACACAACTGTACAGCAGGAGCTGTTGCCTTAGTTGTCCTACAGGAGGCAAAGAGAGCATTAAATGCCATGTTGGCCGCCTTTAGCTCTACTTCATCCAGTAGTTTACTGTTGCCATCATCTTTGGGCTGTGTTGTCTTGATGGATGTCGTCTGGTCAATTGTTGCTTCTTTCTTTTCAATGGTTTTTGGTTTCTTTAAAAATATTGAGGCAAGGTTCTTTGGTTCTGTGGAGAAATTTAAAAAATGGATGAAAGGATGGGAGGATGGATGGATGAATTGATTGATGGATGGATAAATGGAATTGATAGGTGATGGATGGATGGACGGAATAGATGGATGGGTGGGTGGATGGACAGATTAGATGGATGGATGGACAGATTAGATGGTTGGGTGGATGGATGGATGGATGGATGGATGGATGGATGGATGAATGGATGGATGGATGAATTGATGGATGGGTGGATGGATGGATGGATGGATGGATGAGAAAACATAAATGAATGGAATTTAGACAATT